AGTTAACACTTTTAATGGTAGTGCCAAATTGGTTTTCTACGAGAGCTTTGAATTGCTTGAAAACATGGACAACATCACTTTTATACTTAATGGGATAAATCCATGTGAATAAAGAGAAGTCATCAATAACAAGCACAAAGTAGCGATAACCATTGAATGACAAAATAAGAGCAGGACCCCAAACATTAGTGTGAATTAAATCAAGAGGTTTAGAGCTACGATGAAAAGTAGAAGGTAAACTGACCCTATGTAACTTCCCTAAACAACACGCCTCACATTTATCAGTGGACGTGGACACAGAGGAATAAGGAAGTTGAAACTGCCTAACCAAAGTACGAAGAGTGACTTTATTAGGGTGCCCTAAACGAGCATGCCACTGACCTAAAGAGACAAGATAAGCTGCTGGAGACAAGGAACCACGAGCAGGAAGATCTAAGCGATAGAGACCATTATCAGCCCGACCGCGGAGGAGGAGTTCCTTGGTTGAAAGATCCTTAACACAACAAGAGTCAGAATAAAATTCAAAAAAACAGTGATTATCACGGGTAAACTTTTGAACAGATAACAGAGGCTTAGTAAGAGAAGGAGCATGCAAGACACGATTTAAATAAAGAGGACGAGAAAACGATGGCAAAACAGATTGACCAACATGCTGAATAGGTAAGGTATCTCCATTACCAACTAAAATATGATCCGTACTAGTATAATCATTGGAGATACTGAGAGAGGACAAATCTGGCATGACATGATCGGTAGCACCAGTGTCCGGATGCCAAGGAGTGACAGAAGGGGCATACTGCGCCATATGGGCTTGAGGAGACATAGTTGACTCCGGGTAAGACGGAAGAGGCAACAAACCAGCTGACGGCGGTGCAGGAGAAACTGCCTGGGCATAAGCAGCCAACCGAATGGCAGGGGGTCGAGGAACAAAATTAGTATCAAAACGGCGTTGACAAGTGGCGGCCGTATGATTCAAGATGCCGCAAAGCTGACATGTCTCACCCGGAGCAGGAGGGGTGTACCCACGCCGACCACCACGACCAGAAACCTGATTGCGCTGGCTGCCACATTGCGAGCGACCGGCACGAGAGGATTGAGGCGGCGTAGGAGAAGGTGGCGACTGTACAAGTATGGTCGTGGGCTGAAGGACCGGTTGTTGGGCATGAAGAAGCACCTCATACGAAACTAACTGTCCAAGGAGATCTTGATAGGAGGGGGGTTCGGATCGCTGTTGCAGAGCTCCGATGATGCCATTGAATTCGGCACCAAACTTGCGGAAGATTATGGCATTAAACTCCGCAGGAGATATGCGATGGCCAGCAAGCTGCAGTGTATCAGCGATGCCCTTCGCTTTGGAGAGGAGAGCCGTGATCGACAAGTCACCTTTTTGCAAGCTGTGGAGCTCCATAACAAGATGGGTCTGTTGAGCATAAGAAAGAGTGCCAAAACCCTGCTGAAGAGCTGTCCATGCAGCCGCCGACGTTGTGCAGCCTTGGAGAACGGGAAAAATGTCTTCAGCAACGGAAGAAAGAATCCAAGAGAGGACCAGCTGATCCTTTTGCTGCCAGATATCAAACTCAGGATTGAGTTGGGGCGCGGCACCACTGACGGAAGGAAGAAAACGTGGCGGTGCAAGGTCAGTGCCGTCAACAATACCGGCAACACGAAACATAGTCAATAAAGGAGTAAACTGGAGACGCCAAGACGAATAGTTGGCTCGAGATTGCAGCTTCACAGTAAAGGAATGATTGAGAGATTGCAGACTAGGTTGAAGAAGTGAGACTGATGTCTGTGCCGGCAGCCGAAGATGGGTAGCCTGGTCGGTGGATGAAAGGTCGGTGATAGTCATCGTTGAAAGTAAGCAAGCAAGACTTAACAAAGTCCAATTGGTTTTTTTTTTTTTTTTCAGAAGAAGCAGCAGCAATTAGGAAAGGGGATCGAAGCAACAGCAAGCATCAATTAAGAAGCAACAGCAATGGCAACACCACGAACGACGCTGAAGGGTTCAAGTTGGGACTATGATCCACGCTCACTACGGGACAACGCAACAACGCCGACGATCGAGCAGCAGCAGACGACCACCGGCAGCAGCAACAGAACACCGGCGGCAGCAGCAGAACCACGCCGACGAAGGGAAGGAAGAACCATGACGCCGACAGCAGCAGCTGTGGAAGACAGAGAAAGAAGCACCGACGACGCCGACGGCAGGTCTGAAAGCGTAGCACCGGACTGAAAGAGGAGCACGGAACGAGGAGCAGCAGCAGCAGAAAACAACGATGACGACGACAGGCGGTAGAACCGACGACGACGAAGACGTCAGAAAAAAAAGAGGAGAAGAACCGACGACGGCAAAAAACAGCGACAGCAGCAGGAGGAAACGACGACGAAACACACGCCGGCGAAGAGCCTGTGTGGGGCGGCTAAGAGCAGAGGCAATAGGCCGACTACGGCGGACGGGGTGTGCACAGCCGAAGAAGAAAGATTCGGCGGCGGGGAAGACAAACGAGAGAGGAGAGAAAAAAATAGGTTTTGTTAAACCTAGCTCGATACCAACTTAGAATAGGGAAATTGTATTTGATTCATGATATGTTATGCACAATATACAGACTATATATAGACAATAACAAACCCGAAACTAGGACATAATAGGAAATATACTAAATATCACAATATTGTATATCCTAATCCCATAGACTTATGATTTGTGGTAACTTAAGTTGAATTTGCTGATGTAACTTGGTCGTTTTTTTATGTAATAAGTGACACTAACCCCGTCAATAATATTTTGTCACATTTTCTTTTTGTTTGGTACCTGAATTTTTGTCCGATTTCGGAGTCCTCCAAGATCTTCCTAATAGAGATCCACCGGAATGTTTTCTTTGTCTTTTCTTGTTAACCCTGAAGGATCCGCCTTAGCTGGATTGATTTCTTCAATATGCTTATTATACTTTTCTGCATCGTTCCTAGGGCGTGGTTGCCATTTAGGTATTTGCCTGATCAAAATACCATTCGCTTTTTGCTTTTTTTTTTATTCTCAATCAGTTGTCTCGTATCCTGTATCTTCTTCCCCACTTGGTCAGTTACTGAACCCTTCTTCTGCCTACATCCGGAGTCTTTGTGGCCGATTTTGCTGCAGTGTACACAATAAGATGGGATATCTCGTAAGTAAAAATTTGCTCATATTTTTTACGCTTCTTCCCAATCTTTATGGTGGCTGGAAAATCTTTTTGCTTTGTGAGATCAACTTCGACACAGATTCAAGCAATGGAGGGTCTTGTTAGATACAATGTCAGGGTGTTGACTTGTAGGGGCATGCCAACTGCAGGGGCGACTGAGAAAAGAATTTGAGGGTTTAGGAATTCCCTCGCAACTCATGCAATGCAACCGATATGGGTACTAATGGGGATCTTTCTCTCGAATTTAAAACTGGGTTGCCATTTGAGAATTCGCATATGAAATCCCTTAATATTCCATTAGGTTTGAATCTAGCAACGCTGGAAGTCTTTTTCTCTTTCAAATCAAATCAGAATGTGCGTAAGGTTCATAAGACTAATATCAAAATCTTCCTGGAACCCTACTTTTTTCCAGTTCCCATCGAACCACTTCCATTTAGATCTTCCATGAGAAAATTTGCCAACCAAATCCCAACAATGAGGGGCAATGGGCTTTTTATATTCATAATCCTCGAGTTTCAAAACCGGCGAACCGTTCACATACGTTACTTGCTTGTATTAGTGGCTTTCTGCGAATTTTGATTCGACCGGCTATTTAAAGAAGCTTGCAAAGGTCCGTGGCGGTCCTAGCAGATGGGCTGCCGGCCTTAAGCCAGAGATCAGAATGTTTGCTGTCGACTAGGGTTTCAGAGAGAGAATATTTTTACTTTATCCCAAGCCCGCAAACTAAAAATAAAATAAAATATGTATGCAAAGAAGAAGAGAGAGAGAGAGAATATTTTTATTTTATCCCAAGCCCAAAAATTAAAAATAAAGTAAAATATGTATGCAAAGAAGGTATAATTTTTTTAAATATTTTTCATCTTAGTTTAAAAATTAAAATCTTTGAAATTTTCATTAATTTAATATTTATTTTAATTCGTACTTATTTTATGAATATAATTATTTTAAAATATATATTAATATTTTACTCAGTGCTAATTTATTATAGATAAATATTTTTTATCACGAAAATACCCCATTGACTTTAGCTTAAATATGGTCATACTGCAAGAATAGTATCAAATGACCAAAAAAAAAGTTACAAATAAAACTATAGAAGATCATTTTAGCCAAATGTTAACGGATGACCAAAATGTGAATTTGGCCTAATATAAAGGATCAGTTTTAATTAAAAAAAAATTTTTTGTAAACTATTTGAATCACTTAATAAGTATATGATTATAGAAGAAATAATCGAGAGCTATGATTATTTTTTTTTCAAAAAAAAAAAAAGAAAAAAGTCAAAATGTGTGAAGATAAATGTGGAACATCATTATGAACTTCATAAGTACAATACAAATTATGTATTGCATCCACATAAATTACATTATAAAGATATCTCTAAGACTAAATCTTGAAGTTAATTATCTACGTTAGGCAAAATCAACAAAATTATTCTCTGCGTTAACATCTGGCCAAACAAAAAAATTTAAAAATAAAAAAATTTAAAAAAACGAAATGTAGATTGTAGAGAACAGTTTCAGCCAAATGCTAATTCAGAGTATAATATTGTTCATTTAGCCTAAGATAGAGGTCAAGTTTAGGATTAAGTCTATCAACAATAATCACATGATACATAATTACACATCACCCGTAAAATGGATGGTCAAGAAAGTAGTTTGAGGTGAATGAAAACTTTTAATACTCTATCAATGACAGCTGTACACCATTAATTAATGAATAGAGTAACAATGAATAGATTTTATGAGATTACAATTTGGGAAATTTTCATAAAAATCAGAGTAAATCTATAAATTTAGTAAATTTATTAGTGCATATAATTTTATTTTTTATTTTATTATAAACATCACACCATCTAGTAAAATAACGTCAGTTTTGAGTTAAGAACTCCACTGATAATGCTTGTTTTGACACTCTTTAGAAAACCTCTGAAGTTTTTGATATGGACCCAAAAGAAGTTGCTGAAATCCCCACCTCAGCCGGGAAGATTGTTAGATCTGAGAGGAAGAGGCGGGCTTCCGAACATGAAGGTTCAAGCAATCGGATCCATCTCAAAATTTTTGGCCATGTTTGTTTTTCTCTCCCTCTCTTTCAACTTATTCATTTCAACTTATTCATTTTTCTCTCCCTCTCTTTCAACTTATTCATTCTTCCGTTGTGGGTTCTTTTGTTTTTTTTTTTTCTTTTGCTTTTTTTTTTTTGGGCTAGGAAATATGTTATTCTTGTGTGCTATGAAGGTGAAGGTAGCTTATGATGATTGGATCATTTACACCCGAAAAATTCATATTTTTGTGGTCAGTTTGTGTATGTGAATTCAATAGTAATGTGGAAGCTTTGCATAAAGTTTTGAGATCTTTTTTTCCATTTAATGATTTATTTTAAAGTTGCTACGTTTCATCTGAGGAGAATAAGGTTGGATATAAATAAGTAGAACTGTTCGTGATATTTTCCCCTTTTTATTTTATTTTTATTTTTTTGGATTTGGTAGACTCACTTATTGAATTTTAGTAATATTGTTCTTCAATTATAAATTAAGGATGATTTTGATCTTTTCAATGTAGACTATCTTCGTGTTCATTTTATAGTAGTGGACCATATCTATCTAATTAAATCTATCATTAACATTTTTTTGTTGGACTTTATCGTCATATTAATTTGTACTCTCCACCTAAAAAATAGTCAGCATTGTTTATATTGTCTTATCTTTAGCAAAACATTGTGAACTTTTTTTTGGGAGCAGATAAAGTTACTCCTAATGGGCTTGCCTTATAATCTTAATGGGTTTATCATGTAATTTTGATGGATTATTCTTATAAGTTTTATGGTTTTGTCATATAATTTTTTCATGGTTCTATCTTATAATCTTTTGTTATCATTTTCTAGGCCTGTGTTGTAAAAATATTTTAGTCACATTAATTTTGACACGTTTAATATTCTAAGAGTGGGAATCCTCCGTCGATGTATTGGTGTAGATCAATCAAATAAACTAGATGCTTACCCCGGGCGAATGCTCGGGGTGCCGTCTTTACTTTTAATTCGATTAGATAAAAAATAAATTATTTTTAAAAGAATAAAAAATAGAAAAATAAAAAATTGATTAAAAGGACAGGAACTGAGTTATTATACATAAACCTATTCCGGGGTTTATAACAGTTAACTTATACCCGGATTTACATAACTCATAAATCAAATATCTAAAACAGAAGAATAAAAAAAACAAATCATCCTCAAAAAATCAAATTTATTTTCATGACCACTTCTTTTTCCTCTGTCGTAGAAATAGATGAATTGATAATTGATGTCAGAATTTATGTAGTTGATTTGAAGGCCTGAGTCTGAGAGAGGAGCGGAATGGAAAAGATCATTTGAGATTGAGTGGCAGTGTTGTTTCACTTGATTTAAGGAAATTTTCTGATATTTAATTTTATCAACTCAATATTATTGTTTTAAGAGATTACTATATACCTATAATTAATGGATTTTTATGTAGCTATAATTAAGGGATTTATTTATTTCATCCTTTTTTTATGATTAGTTAGAGTGCCACATATCAAAAATGATTTTGCACTGAAAATGACTTTTGGCAGGAAAATTTTCATTGTGGTGATGACATATGTCCTTTTTGTTTGCTACTTTAATTAAGTACTATAGGTTTCCCGGGGAAAGAAACAATTTGATGGGGATAAAGTTAGAGATGCATTAGGTTTTGACGGTGATAAATAAATAAATAACAGGAAGAGGAAAGGTTCACTGTGATTTTGAAATACAAAATATTTTCAAAAATTGTAATTATATTTAAATAAAGTTTTTAAAATTATTTCATATATTAAAAAATAAATAAATATATGAATTACTGAAAGTGCACTGGTGACTTGACCAAAAATTAATCAACCAAACCCTCAGTCCAATGTAAATTATCAAAATAAATGGTTGGAACGAAAATAGCTAAAATACAAATGCTTCAGACTAAACCAATACAAATTATTAATATATTGACCAAAATAATTTGTACCGTACTTTAAAAGAATTAACGTAATCTAGACTTTGGGAAAGAAGCATTTAAGTTTTGGGTTCTCTAGTGGTCTTTTTATGTTGACTCTCCATGGATCGTTTTTTTAAAGTGTGTTTTTTTGTATCTTTTATATTGCAGATATGAAAAAGTGTATGGAAAATTTGAAAAGATATGTTAGAATGAGATATTTATTATATACCAAGTATAGCCTCATGTTTTAAATTAGTGAACTGTAAAATAAAGATGGTATTTCAACAATGTTTGTCTACTATTATGACTTCTATCTGAAGTGAGGAGGCCTTATTTCTTATTAATGTGAAATCTATTTTTCTGAATTCAGGACGGTGTTCTCTCCACTTACCGCATTCGTCGTGACAAGCCGATGCAAAAGTTTTTGAAACGGTACTGTCAAGACCAAAATTTGGAGTATCTTGCAACAGACTTTCTTTATGAAGGGGAGAGACTTCGAAAACTTAGCACCCCCGATGAGGTAACTTAAAGAAAATACCCCCGATGATCAACTTCCTAAAACAATATAGAAATGTTTTACAAGTTGGAATTCATCTATGCATTCTTGCTTTTAAAAGTATAAGTGGTACTTGAACAATATTGGATTCTCTGAATTTTGTTTCCCCAAAAATTTTGTAGCTTCGGTTGGAGGATGGAGATCAGATTGAGGCATTTGTTCGAGCAGATGGAGGAGGTCATAAGGCTGTCTAAAGCAATTAGCTAGTGAAGTTTAGAGAGCCTGAAAAAATAGCTTGTAGTACTTCTATAGTAAATTCATTTTTTTAAAAAAATACAAATATTTCTATGTAATTTTCTTTCACTTGCGATAATCTTTGACAATTTCTTGTTTTTTCAGTATGATTCGTTTGTGGTAAATGTAGATTTTGTTCCTGAAGTATTGAATACAAATCATAACGAGTAGAAAGAATAACGACTAGAAAACCCTAACACTGATCAGACTTTTCATGGCCAATGTGGCTCGCTATCAAGATGTAATGCATGCTAGCCACCTTCCCATTCTTTTGCTAGCCTGTTTCAAAAACCTACTTAATCAAGAATCGCTAATTTTTCATTGATTAAGCATATTAGAATTGTCAATCCTTAGCTAGGATATAAAATTTGAACAATTTGGTGCCCCTTACAGAATGAAGTTGCATGGTAGATAAGTTATCATATGGTGGTCCCAAGATGGAAGATGTGCATAGGAAGTTCAACTGTCACGGCCCGAACCTAGGGCCTAGTTGACACGCCACAAGTACAACAAAGAAATATGTCTCATGTCATACAAGTAAGGCATCTTACATTTTCTTTTTTTTTTAAACTCTAAGATTGATAAATCTAAACTACCATACATTATTTATCAAAAGCAAATTACTAGAGTCTTATGCACCGGACTTAAACTATAACAAAAATACAAAAGAACATTTCTTCAATTCGCCTAGTGGTCACCAATCTACCATTTTTCCCCATCATACTCCCCATCGTCGTAACCGTCATCACTGTCACTCGAAGTATCATTTGGGGGGTTAGTACATGCAACTTCAAGTGCTTATGCAAACTCGAAAACATTTCATGGAAACATGATCAATTCAAAAATATTTCATAGAACACTTCCATTTCATAAAACAATATTTCACATCGTAACTTTCTCATTTCAGAAATAACATATTCACAACTTTAGAAATTGAGATATAACTATATACTTTATCATGATAACTTGTACACTGTTCCGGATATAAACCCTCTGAAATTAGGGATCATTTTAACTTAAGGCTACTCTCGCCTTAGGACTTGGGCTTTCCAGCTTTTTCGTCCACTTTCACTTTAGTGATCACTACCACAATATCGTACGTGCATATTGTCTCAATTGCAAAATATTTTCAACATAAATCAAAGAAAACATTTATCGCATTTTGTGCATAACAATCAAAGCATTTAGTTTGCGTAAACACTTAGACAATCATGTACATCGTGCGAGGGAACGCACTTTGAGTTAAGCAACTTCCTTGTCAAGCAATTCAACTCCTTTTTCTTCACCTAATACCATGTAGATTATTTTCTTAATACTGCTTTTACAATACTAATACTTTTATTAATGTCTTAATTACAATATTGAAATAATTGTTTTAGAACTTCTTATACTTGTGTACCATTAAACACACTAGAAATCATCTCCAGGAAAGATTGGAGGGGTCACCACAGTCTAACTTAAAATCCAACCTGCTTAGACAGGATATCTCTTAGTAAGTTGTTAGTATATAGTTAAAATCTATGTTTAGCATAATACTAGTAAGTTTTCGCTAAAGTAAACTTTAAAACTTTAACTACCATTCATTATTTACGAAAATATACCCATATTTGAAAAACATGCAAAATACTACTTTGAAAGAAAGTATGATATAATAGAAGAATAAATAGTGTTTATGTAAAATATCATATTATTATAAGTAAATATGTACTATTATTTGAAAGAGATCACATTACTACTAACATACAATATATCACTACTTAAGGAAATGTACTAATAATTTAGAAAATATATGAAACATTATTTTGAAAAGAGAATAAACTATCAAGAACCATATATATTATCATTTTGAAAAGAAGGTACACTACTACTTGGAAAATATAGCTCATTATTTTGTAATATTATTATTTTGAAAGAAAACATACTACTTAGAAAATATAGCTCATTATTTGGTAAGACATATTACCACTTATAAAATTAAAGAAGATATAACAATCTAGTTGCATGGCTTACTATTTAAGATGTTACACTATTACTACCAAAACATGGATGATACTTGAAACCATTAATCTAAACATTCCTAGAATATATAACAATAAACATTCAAAGGCTTATATCATAAATAACACAACAAAATTTAACTCCTAAAATTATAACCCTAATTAAGAGGAGGAGTTTGAAAATTACCTCTTAGAAGACTCTTTGAGACTCTATGATCCCCTAAAACTCCCTTGATCTTCCTTAAGAACTACTAGGAAATTTTGGAACTATAGCTAATATTAATCATTCACTACGAAGTGCCCAATGCTTAGCAAATTTTTGGTGTACCACAACATAACGGGAGGTCCTCTATTTATAGGGGGAGATTTCACTATTCCTACCGACCCCTTCATTATTTTTTTTTAATATTTTTCATTATTCCTACCTACCCCTTCATTATTATTTTATTCCTAGCTAGCCCTTCTTTATTATTTTAAATATTTTTTACTATTTCTACCTACTCCTTCATTATTATTTTATTCCTAACTAACCCTTCCTAACTCTTTCACATTATTTTAAAATTTTTGTAGGATGACCTTTACTATTAATGGAAGCTTCTATTGTTATTATAATTATTGTTTCTATTATATTATTTTTATTAGGTGTTAATATTGTTATTGTTATTGTTACTATTATTATTGTTATTTCTCCACACGTAAGAAGACATAGGATATTCTTAATTTAAATTAACTTAGAACAACCACATTATTACAAAAATATTGGGTATTACATCCTTCCCTCCTTAAAAGAAGTTTCGTCCGCGAAACTTAGCTAGTGGCCCCTTCAAATAGGTGAGGGTATTCTAGTCGAACTTTGTCTTCTAGCTCCCACATAGCTTCCCTTGGGGTGTGATTTGACCACTGTACTTTTACATACTTGATGACTCTATTCCTTAATACTTGTACCTTTTTGTCAACAATCCTAATAGGAACTTCCGGATAAGACAGGTTTTCTTCGACTCGAACATCTTTATCTTGTTCCAGGATTTGGCCAGGGTCATGGACACACTTACAAAGTTGCGACACATGGAACACATTGTGCACTCCTTCTAGTTGTGGAGGGAGAGCCAATCGATAAGCTACGTTACCAATTTTCTCCAAGACTTCATAGGGCCCAATGAATCTTGGGTTCAATTTTCCCCGCTTCCCAAACCTTATGACTCCCTTAGTTGGGGATACTTTGAGGAACACCTTATCTCCCACTTCAAATTCTAGAGGCCGCCTTTTCAAATCTGCCCAACTTTTCTGTCGATCTTGGGCTGCCTTGAGTTTCTCTCGTATCACTGATACTTTATCTATCGCTTCTTGCAACAACTCTGGTCCTATGATATACTTTACTCCAACTTCATCCCAATATAGTAGCGATCTACACTTTCGACCATACAAAGCTTCATATGGTGCCATTCCGATGCTACTATGATAGCTATTGTTGTAGGAGAATTCTATCCGTGCTACGTATTCATTCCAACTTCCTTTGAACTCCATGGCACATGCTCTCATCATATCTTCAAGGGTTTGGATAGTTCTCTCACTATGCCCATCAGTTTGGGGATGATAAGCAGTGCTAAGATTAAACTTTGTTTCGAGTTGCCTTTGGAACTCCTTCCAAAATTTAGAAGTGAACCTTGAGTCTCGATCAGAGACAATACTAACTGGTACACCTTGTAATCTAACAATCTCCTTGATATACAACTCCACTAATTTATCCCTAGGTTTCCCAAAATGAATTGGGAGAAAATGTGCAGATTTGGTTAACTGATCCTTTATTACCCATATTGCATCATTGCCATTCTTAGTCCTTGGCAATCCTACCACAAAGTCCATTGTTATGTTTTCCCATTTCCATACGGGTATTTCTAGTGGTTGTAATAAACCTCCTGGCCTTTGATGCTCCGCTTTCACTCGTTGACAGGTTTGGGACTTAGCAACATACTTAGTTGCATCCTGCTTCATTCCCCTCCACCTATATAACTCCTTCAGGTCCTTATACATTTTATTTGCTCCTGGGTGGATGAAATGTTTTGTACTATGTGCCTCCTTCAAAATCTCATTTATCAATTCCAAGTCTTTTGGCACACATATACGTCTACCTTTCCATAGTTTATCATCTCACATTACTTCAAACCCTGGTAGCTTTCCTTCCTTCACCTTTTCCTTCAACTCCAGTATGAAGGCATCATCACCTGCCTTTCCTTGATCTTTTCTAACAAGGTAGGTTGTAAGGTTAAAGTAGCCAAGACTCCTTCCGTTGATTCTACTTGCTCAAGTCTTAATTCTTCCATTTGCTTTACTAGCATTAGAGCTAGATTTCCTATTCCTTTCTGGCTCAAAGCATCAGCTACTTTATTCGCCTTTCTGGGTTGGTATTTTATATTGAGATCATAGTCCTTAATCAATTCTAGCCACCTTCTCTGCCTCATGTTTAGTTCTCTTTGAGTGAAAAGATTCTTCAAACTCTTGTGGTCGGTGTATTCTTCACAAGTGACTCCATAGAGATAGTGTCTCCAAATCTTTAGTGCAAAGACCACTGCAGCTAATTCTAAGTCATTGTTGGGATAGTTATGCTTATAAGGTTTTAGCTGTCTTGAGGCATATGCTATGACTCTCTCATTCTGCATCAACACACATCCTAATCCGTTCTTGTAGGCATCACTGTATATTGTGTATCCCTGTTCTTCATTGGGCAATGTTAGTACAGGCGCTGACACTAGCCGATTCTTCGATTTTTGGAAACACACCTCACAAGCAGGGGTCCAGTCAAATTTTGCTATCTTCTGAGTCAACTTGGTAAGAGGTACAGCTATCTTTGAAAAGTTCTCCACAAACTTTCGATAATACCCAGCAAGTCCAAGAAAGCTTCGCACTTCAGTTGCATTGCTAGGTCGAGGTCAATTTGTGATTGCCTCTACCTTAGCAGGGTCGACAGACACACCTTCCCCAGAGATAATGTGTCCGAGGAAATTA